AGATATAATGTCTTTCCTAGGAAAAAGAAGGTAGAAGACAAATTCTCATTCTTGTTTTATTTCCTTTTATTTTTCTCTGCCTATATTTCTTTAGAAAATTGTTCAGTTTAAAAGAAAAATATATCCCATCTTTGGCTACCTTCTTCACATGTCATATAAAACCACCCCCTGTAAGGAACAAAAACTTAAGATTTCATGTTTTCAATTCTTGAAAATATAAAATAAAAGGCAGTTAGAAAACATTAAAAGTTACAAAAATATTAAATTATTAATTTCCGAACTGATTCAAGAATAGCCCCACTGAAAGCCCCATGTTCATTTTAACTGTTTCCAAATAATTCCTCAAGCCCCTAGCAAATTCTTACTGGCCATTCCTTACTTCCCTCTGATTTATGAGGTTTTAGGATCAATGCTGAGTTTTAAGGCTGTCTTAGGCTCTTCATCTCACTGCACTGCTTCCCCTCCTCCTCCACTCATCAGACAATGTTTATACAACACAGGCAGTTCAATCAATCTATGTAGAATTCAATCAAATTACTGACCTTAAGAATCTGACACTTACTAATTGGGAAGATAATTTTTTTTTTATGCAGGTGTATATCACTTTACAGAATAGGTTGATCCCTGAGTCAAGCTAATTTCTATAAATCAAATCACACTTTTATCCCTACGGGAAAAAATGGGCCCAGATTCACACTTGTGAATAATATACATTATTTTAAAACCACACATTTAGAAAGGGTAAGAAACTAAGAAATGATAAAAATTACTTCAAAATTGAACAAGCCCCACACCATAAAACATATTCTCACTGATCTATATCAAACTGAGTAGAAGACAGTTCCTTGAGATTGTCTGCCTCTTCAAAAATGGAAATTTCCTGCATTTTCTTTATGCTAAGTATAGTGAAACCCCTTGCCTATATGATCAGATTTTATTTCTCCTATTTTAAATTTCCTCTCTTCACATAACCCATAGAATTGCTAGTAAAATTATAAAAGTTCTTAATGTAGGGAGGCCCATATTATAATTTGATTAAATGTAATTTTGCCATATAAGTCATTAATCTATTGATCCATTCATTCATTTTTTTCATTCATTCATTCTTCAAATATTTATTAAATGCTGACTATGCACCCGGAGTATTTCAGATGCTGGGAATATAGTGGTGAACAAAACACAGAAAATCCCTGCCCTCATGGAGCTTACATTCTAGTTCTTCAAAAAGGGATCTGCAGCTAAAATACAGGTACTCAAAATCTAAGAGGAAAGCTTTCTCCGGACCGCAGGCTGACGCTCTAACCGCTGAGCCAAACTGGCCAGGGCAGGAAAGCTTTCTAAAAGCTCTATTAGTCAGATAACTCAAAGGAGCAAAGGCTACACTAAGTACAACATTTAAAATTTGTAATGCATTACATTTTTGTCAAAAATAAAAATAACATCTTGTTAAGTTTATTAATTTGCTTGAATTTTAATTTATATTTACTGTTTCTAATTTTCCTCAATTTATACTTTTTAACTAATAAATTCTACTAATAAATAAGTTTCTTAAAGAGAGTAAGAGAAATAATCCTTTAAAATTTTCAGCCTAATATGTGATCAACAGGTACCAAACAAATGATGGTCTTCATAAGAGTAATTCTTTGTCATTCAAGAATCAGCTTCACAATCCCAGGACTGTTTGCCACTACTGCCTCTGTGTGCCTTAACCACTGACTGGGCTTTTGACTGGACATGCCAGTAACTGAAAGAATTTGTTAGGTATCCTAACTTCTTTCTTTTTTACTGTCCCATTACCTGAACTTATGCTTCCTAGTCAGCATTAATATGTGATAAAGGCTATTATTAAAAACTAGACTTTCCCCATGGCAGAGATTACAGTGAATTTTTACATTGCATTATTGTCAGTGTAGTTACTGCTAATGTGCTCTGGACCCTTCTTCCACTGAGCTCTCAATTCCTGCCTCTACCCTTGCTTACCCTAACCAAAATTCTTGAATTATTCTAAGGTGAATATGGCCAGGCCACATCTATTGTCAAGCTCAGTGGTCCATCTTTTCTTGGGCTTCTCCCTCTTCATGTCACAGTCAGTGGTAACGCTTTCTATTCTCACCTGTAGAACTCTTTTCATGCTTCTTCATTCTCTGATAGGACACCTCAGGAAATCAGGAAATTTGTAAGTATTCCACAGAGTAATAAAGGATGAAACACTAGGAATTAGAATAGTAACTTTACTCTGACAGGATGCAGAGAGATCCAAGCATATTGAAGGAGATGTCACTCTGTGAAAGATTTCTGCATTTTCATGTCTATGTTTATTCAACAAATATTTACTGGGTGCTTATTAGGTTCCAGGAATTGTTATATAGTTGATATCTTTTAATGGGAATACACTGACACTGCTCCAAAACAAGAGTGGTATATCTCTGACCTGTGGGTCACATCTCAGTCTTCAGCTTATTTCAGTCTGACCCAGAGAGAAGGTATCAAGAAATGAAATCACAGCAGGCCTTCAGAAGTAATAAGATGGAAAGCAATTCTATGAGGAGAGAGGCCCTGAATCTTTCACCTTTACTAAAAGCTGTGTATAGCTCTCATTGTTTCTACCTCTTAGCTTTGGTTTTATCTTCTTCATTCTGCCTCATTTCCTAAACTGATCATAACAGGGCAATGGAATATGTTACTACCTGTATTTACTAAATTACATTCCTGTTTTCAGTTTAAAAGGCAGACCAACTGAATATTTCATATTTTTGTCCTGCAACAAAAAGCATTTTTGTTGCTTTTGTGGGTTTTTTGGGGGAGAGGCTGGGGCAGTAGGGAATAGGTCTACTATAGTCCTTGAAATTTCTTTCAGAGATTCTCCATTCATTAACTCAGTAAACTGAAATTCCATAGATATTGCATTAAAAATAAAACAATAATAAACACTGTACTTCAAGAAAATAAATATAATCAAAGTTAATAAGGCATAAGTATAAAAGGTAAATACTTCATAGAGAAAGTAAATAAAAATCTATCCAAATGTCAACAGAAAATGAATAGAAATAAAAGCATTCAAAAGAAAGGGTTATTATCATTTTTTTGTGCACTGAAAATAAGGATTCTCCACTCCTAAGAACCATTTGCATGTAGATTTTATCATAAAATTACTTATATTTTCCATTTTATAATTTCTCTCTTCAGGAGTTGCTATGAATTGTAAATTATTCAAACACTTAATTTTCCAGAAATTAAATATCTTCCTAAAAACTATATATAATACCCATTATATAAGAATATCACAGTATCTTTTCTTCATCACACAAAAAATTATAATTATAACTTATTCTTTATTTGTCATCTTTCTACAGAAATTATCAGGATTTAGCCTTACCAGGAAATTATACACATTATAAATACAACTTTTAATAGATTACTTATCATCAGACTGTTATGTTCAAAGGATTTCTAAAACATGATATCACAAATTGTCATTAATTCCAAAACAATAGTTTATTAACAAAAAAGTACAAAGAAGTACAAATGGACATCCTATTTCCCCCCTTTATGGTCCATCTATCTATCTCCCTTTCAGTCCATGGCATGACCTTCTTGAGCTAAAAGAATGGGTAAAACACTTCTCTCTCCTCTTTCTAACGAGCCCTAATAACCATCCCAAAACAAATCATTATATATATGTTATACAGTCCAAGTGAATTTAAAAAAAAATGTTTTATCTATATGAGTTGCTGTAAAGCCTCTTCCTTTGCAATACACCATGTACCTAAACCGAACAAAACATATCAGAATCAACATCCAAAAATCATGTTTGTCAGACATAGGGAATATCATATCACTAGTATGTTTGCCTTTAAGTAACAGTTTACAAATGAAGGCTTAGAGGTGTCAAGAAGAATTTTCAAAGATATTTACTAAAAACACTTCAAGTCAAAAGCTTCTTGTGAACTGAACTGAATTGAGGTACATGGAAAACATTCAGCTTAGTTGCTTTTTTGCACTGATTCTATTCACATATCTAATCTTATTGCTTATTTCAATTTTATTCAAGAATGCTTCCTTTTCAATTTATTTCATTAAACCTATGGTTATTCTATACCTCTCTATAAGCCCAAGTACTTCTCTGAATCATGGTAAATTCCCAATATTTTATGATTTCTCTCACAAATAGCAATATAGATGAAAATATTTAGTAAACTGCCATGTTCAGTAAATAATGCCCAATTTGCTCTTTTTGTTATGGCTCATCAAGACAGGACACATGGGATTACTTTAGTGATGTTCCTAAAATTTATTCAATTATATATATTTTTTGAGTGGTAGCTCCAGTCTTTTGGTTTGAGGAGGGAGCCAGGTCAGAGCTTACCACTATGCTTTATTTTCTGCTTAAAACTATTCTCATAAAGAACATGAGTTCAGTGTTGGACTAGGCTGTAATAACATAAGGTGCTATACCAGTGATACATTTTTTGGGACCTGGAAATTCACATGACCACTCACTAAACATAAAATCATCATTCCACAAAAATTTTATTCACATCAAACTTGCACAGTAGCAAAAAAATCAAAACACAACTAAGCCACATATCAAAGAACAATATACAATAAATTTAAATTTCTCAATGGCATTGGAAAGTATTTTCATAAATAACATTTACAATTCTAGTGTTAGGTCTTTCAAGGTGTCTGAAGCTTCACAGTGCTAGAATTGATTTTTATCAGAACACATGCAAAATGTGCAACACAATAATCCATATTAATGACACAAAAAAAGCACACCAGTTATTTGTCATTCCAGCACGGACATGCCACTCTATGTTCTAAAAACAAACAAACAACCCCCAAATCCGGGTCCCATTCATTCTTCAATTATGCCTTTAGTCACTGCTTTATTATATTCAAACAGTCACTGTTAGTGCTCTTCACCACGACTTTCAGGTTGACGTCACTCCCTGCCTGCTGGCTGTCAGGACTGGGGGCCGCCCCTCTCCCAGACTCACCTTCTTCCGGATGTCTTCATCGTTTGCTCCGAGAGAGGCATAGAGCTTGAATGCAGCCTGGCGGAGTTCGTGAGCATGTTTTAAGTCATGATCAAGCTATGGGAGAGGAGAAAAAGATATGTTCCAAATCAGTCCACAAATAGAATTTTCAATAAAACCAACTGAGTAGAGTTAAAGAAAAAGTGTTTAAAACTATTAACATATTAGTGTTCTCCCTGACTTCCTGATTATCTTTGGGTTCTGCTCACATCACTGAGACCTAGCTGAATTTGTGTCAGGATGATCTGGAATATATGCTGTCTAAACGTGAATGCCACAATATTTGACACTAGTAAATGCAAAATCTTTATGAACCTTTAATTTAACCCCTAAAAATTCAGTGACCCTAGATGGTAGCTTCAGTGGCACTAATGCTTGATTGCACCGGCTCTTTGAAATGCTCTCCTCAATAAAGAAGGCACACTCAGGCCTTTCTAGCCCCAGAAGATGGCTGATAACTTGAGTGCTGTTGCAACAATGTCTTTAGCAGGTTTCCCAAACATTGAGTAGTGCTAGCCTGATTTCAGTATTTAAAAAACTTTCAGAAACAAAAAATTTTATGAAAGCCCTTAGTGAACAATATGCCACGATAATCATTACTACCTATTTATCACAGTTATCTGAGATTTATGTTCAGGGGACTTTTTTGATAAATTTATTAAAATTACTGGTATGAAACAATTCTATCTTTGCATATGCATAACTGATTTCTAAGTTATCAATTTTCCATACACCTGATTTATCACCAAACTACCATAACAAGAAAACAGAAGCATCTTCTCAGGACAGTTTCAATGACTATGAACCAGTAAATACAAAAGACATACCAATAATGTAAATATTTTTTAACTGAGATATAACTTCTTCATCTAAGGAACACCACTTTCTCCAGATGATTCACCTTTGAAAGGGTCACCCTCAAAGATATAGGTGTTGTTCAAAACATTATGAGTCCCTCTTTTAAAACTTCCTTAAGAGCTAAGTGGCATATTATCTGACCATAATATATCGATGAACTAAGGGAGTTTGAAGTTAACTGTCACTATGATGTGTGAAGATGGGGAAATCCAGCTGGGTAGCATTTAGATTAACAAACAAAACACCCTAAAATCATTCAGCGTGGTTCTTAAGGCAATTCCTAAAAGTAGTTCCAAAAATATTCTGATCAAAGCAGGGACTGGTGGATTATGGAAGGAACCTCCCAATGTATAATGAGAAACACTCATTTTGATACATAAGTCCTAAGATATGTATTCTCAAAGTTTTAACTACTTTCTAGTCATAAGAAATTACTACATTAGAATACTGACTTGGACTAATATACCATGAAAATTATACATTTATTAACATGTAAGAATTTCTCTCTATGGGTCCCAATTATTTATACATTAATGGTCAGAAACCAATGGACAGCCCATCATCAAAAATAAAGATGACAAAACAAACTAATTTTTAAATTTGGTATTAGGAGATCCTTTTTAAAAATTATTATTATTCTACGTTTACTGTGGTGAAAACAAAATGGAAAAACCTTAATAGAAGAGATCATCTACATACTAGTTAAATGATCTGCACATGCATAGGCTAGAAGTTCTTGTAACTGTTCCCTCACCCTCATGTCCAACAAAGTGTTCTATTTGCCTTTCTGGTTGGTCAACTATTGGGTGTTCATGAGGCCATAGTTAGGACTTGCCCATATATCTCTGTACTAATGAGGCACTGTCAGTGTGAGCAGTAGCCAGGGGGAAACCACACAAGGCAGATGGTTCAATATAACACCTCACTTCCACTGGAAAAACAATCACACTGAAGGAAGAGCAGACAAATAACTTTTAATACATAGAGGGCAGTATACATTATCAATATAAATATTGATGAAGGCATTTTAGGCCCTTCCTGAGACAGAGAAATGATATACCCTTAATAGTTTATTTTATTTTCAATATTAAATGCCAAATGACCAGTTGCTTGCCAGATACATTTTTTTTTTTTGGAACTGAGGGGCATGAGAGAGGTCAAGAAAACAGTTTTTAAAAATTTACCACTGGGACCACTGATATAAAAAATACAGTCACACTCATGAAACAGTACTGGTTACGAATTAGGAGGCAATGCTCTCTCTATCATAATCTTCTTAAATAAACTTTCTCTAACATAATATTTATCTCTTATGCTTAGAGAAATAGACATGACAAATAAGTTCAGAAAAATAAAATCAAAGGAATATCTACCTATCCTAAGGAACTTATACTTTGAGAAAAAGCACATTTGGTCCTTGATGGTCTCAGTCTAGAGGTTAAATGATGCTTTAGCAGTCATTAGCAGACCCAAAGGACAGTATGAAACTGCAAAATGGAAACAGAATAAGATGGCAAAAGTTAGAAGAAGAGGTAGCAAAAGAGAAAGACAATGGTGGAGAGAAAATAAGACCACTTGGTTGTACATAACAAAATATCATCCTTGACCCAAAGAACAAGAACAATGCAACAGAGATGATTCTGGGAACTTAAACAGGATGAGATAATACTGATATAATGTCAGTAACCAGCTTAGAAACCAGACCCCACTATTTTGGAGTTTTAGTTGGGAATTAGGGATGCAATTTTCTTCTTTCCTAATTATCTCCTTAATAAAAAATTTCTGATAATGGAAATGAAACAAATTGGACAAAAAAATTCATAAAATAACATCATCTATGTTATCAAAGTTAAAGATTCCTTTATTTAAAAGGACTTTGTATATAATTATCAATTGATTCAAAGTAGTGAACAGTGAATAAAACTTCTAAAAATCCCTCTCTTGAGCTGCTGAAAAGGAAAAGAGAACATACCCTTTTAATATCAGTGATGGCACTCACAGAGCTGGGATACTTGAAATAATCAGCAAGCATGGCAATGAGGTGATCAGTAATGCTAGCAATTCTCTGCAGCTCAACATCTGGTTCAATCAGGTAGGCGAGTGTCTCAGCTCCTTCAACTCTCTCCTCTAGTAATCTCTCCTTACTGCACATTCGAACCAAACATGGCAATGTCTGAAAGGTAGTGAAATTAATTATTTGCTTTCTGGTAAAGGCAAAAACTTGATAGAGAGCATATAGTGACTAAATCAACTCAATGGTTTTTATTGGGAGTCAAATATTAGTGATCAAATTTTTCAGTAAAGACTTACAGAGAATAAGAGGTTTTTTAAATGTAAAAATATACAAAATTCAGTGCATACTAATCATTTATGCTAGCACACTAAACTCTAATGATACAATAATACAAACTCTAATTAGGCTTTTGTGATCGATAAGACTTAAGCTTTATTGCACAACCTTACAAAAGACATTTAGAATCCCTGATAAATCATGTCTCATGCTTCTGCACCATGTATTTATTTACCTAAATTGACATCTAGCAGTTTAATCAGGAATGATTTCGTCTTAGAAAAAGTATGCTATTTTTTCTTTATGAGTAATATGGCTGGGGTAACTTTTATTTTTTGTTTGAGGATAATATCTACAGTTGCAAAAAAAAAAAAAAATACAGCTTTAACAATTCAGTGATCTTACCATTACTTAGATTCCATTGGTTCCCCTATAATGCAAGTGAAATGCATTAATTACACTTCCTAGGTTTTCCAAAGAGCTCCTTGGAAAGACTAACTCTAATTGTCCAATTTTACTTCCGAAGTCCTTAAAAAATCTTGGCACTGGTTTGGTTGGTTATTTATCTACATCAGATTCTCAATAAAAATATCTCATGTATTCACTATCTCTAAGGCTAATGAATCCACTTTAAAGTCTAAAGTGGAAGTAAAAACTAAAATACTACAATTATAGGAAGCCTTCCTCAACTACTGCAGTTAACTGTGCTTTGCTTTTTTTCGAAGTCCCAGGACCTCTTTATCACAGTTGAGTACTTCACTGTTTACTATTGATTTCAGGCTCATTCAGGCTTTTCAATACAACCCTGGGCTTCCAAGAAGAAAGCTTTACTCTTATTTTCCTTTAAACAGTTACTAACATGTATCAACACCATAAATTCATGGATTACTGAATTTCATGCTCACAACTACAACATTAGGAAGAAAGATACTATTAACCTAATTTACCAATGAGGAAGAAAAGGAGGGGTAGAGCAGTTAAAAAAATAAACTAAGGCCCTTGCATAGAAACCCTTAGTCCTCTGTGAAGAGTTGTTTACTTAGGGGTCCTCAGGTCTCATTAAACTGACTTGTTTCACCAAAGATTAAAGCAAACATTAATCTTCTTTTATCCTTGGGTTGATTTTGAAAGCTGATAGTGAGAGATCTCACATTCATAAAATGGCACATGATCAACTTATTTATACTTGTTTTGTTCTTTATAGCTGATAAGACATTTAATGTACTTAGTATGTTGTTATTTTCACAATAACCCTGGTGGGAAGATGAGCAGGGATTATTGCCTCCATTTTCATAATTAAGAATCTGAAGCACCAAAAGAATAAGAGGTGTGTCCAACGTTACCAAGTAAGGCAGTGGTGGCAGTGCTAATGTCAGATTCCAGGTCTTGGGACTTTTTAGGACTAGTCTCTTATTTGGGTTTTCCTGACTTCTAGTTGATTTGGACATTAATGATGATGATGATGATTTTCATATGTTATTTATTCTTTCTCATTATGCCTTTTGGTTATCGGCCATGAGGGGGTCACATAAAGTCGTTATCTGAAGAGCTAGTGAACTGCTTCCTCTAAAACTGCTGCAATGAAAATCAAAGGTTAAAATATATTTTCTGTCACCTGAATTTTACATATTTTTACAATTTCTACATCCACCTTATTACTATAAAAATAAAAAAGGTATAACAAGAAATGAGTTATTTCACTTTGACTTTCAAAACACATCTAAAACCAATTTTTAAAAACTACACTGAAAAGAAAAGCATGGTATTTACTATTATTTTATTCTGTGCACACATACCATGGAGACAAATGTGTAAAAAAAATAGAAATACCAATATTTATATTTAACACTTATATGACTGGATACTTTTCATATGCTTGTAGAGAATTAATTAGCTCACCTTCAATACAATACAGTTGTCATCTGTCCGAATTGCTCCCGCTCTACACATGTAAGTTAAACTGGAATAAGATGGCAGAAAGTAAGTTTTTGCTTGTGTTTTAAAGTTTTAAAAGGAAAGTTACTTGCTTTTAAGATTTTATGGGACAAAAAAAGGACAACTACTCTCATTTATTTTGAGGGACTCTGACATTACCTTATCTGAGGTTCTGTTAATTTAATAGTCAAAGAAAACTGATATAGAGACAGTAAACCAATGTTAAAACAAACAAACAAACAAACAAAAAAGTACACAATTGTTTTTAAAATAAATGGCCTAACAGGTGGATAAATTTTGAAGCTAAGTGCTGGGCACATTACAATTCTTTATACTTTTCTCTTTTTTCTGTTTTAAATTTTCCATAATAAAAGGGGGAAAGTTAAATCAAAATATACGGTTAACAAAGTATGTAAGTTTAAATAAAGTTGAGATATTCTAACTTCAACAGCAGAAATATCACAGAAGAGTTTAACTTCTAACATCTATAGGTATCCATAAGAAATGAACTATTCAGAGGTTATCAGTAGTGGCATTAAGAATTAGGCAATGATTTGGTTTTATTGAAAAACAATTTACTTTCAAAATTATACTGGCTTTGAATAAGAATTACTTTGCACTCCCTAAGCAGGTAATGAATATTAAGCACTTCAAAAACTTTAATTAATGTATTTTCTTTTTCAATTAGATTCCTTCAGTAAGATAGGTGAAAAAAACAATCCCCATGTTCTGGCTTCTAGGGAATGCTATAAACAAATCAGTAAAATTCTTTATATCATAGAGGGCTGAATTCTTTATAGCTTTTATCATTATCTTAAGGCTTCTTACCACATTATTATTATTATTTTTTAATTAGTTCTATGACAGGATTACCTTACTAACAAAGAAGCAAATACTCAGTTTTGAAGACAAAAAGCAAACAAACAAAAAATGCAATATAAACACACAATAAACAGTTTATGGTTCATGAGTAATTCACCTAAAATTCCTCATTCTCATCTAAATATTAAAGAGTCACAGCTTTTAAATATTGAAACGAAACAATTCATTTAGCATAGAACCCTATACAATAGGTATTCAACCCATCTGTTAATGTATTGATAATTACAGAATTAGCATGTATTGAAGGCTTACATGAGCTAGGAATTATGCTAATAAGAACTTTATGTAACTATCTTATAAACTGTTACATCTTTATGAGGATTTTTTTTCTTTGTCTGAAATAGTGCCTTGGTTATCAACTTCAACTAATTCTCACTCCATAATTCTATATCTTTATATTTTCCTGACTTAATACTTTTAATATTTAGCATAGTATGTGTCGATTACTTCTAATTCTGTATTATTTCAACAGAAATACAAGGAAATGTAATAAAGTAATTTTCTGTGGATAGTCTTAAATTTTACGTAAGAGTTCCTGTTCTGCATGCTATTGAGTGAATGGAGTGAAAATTCACATCCATTTAGGAAAATGTGAGACAACCCCATGACTTTCAAATTTCAAAACCCAAAACAAGATTGGGATTAAAAGTGAACTAATCAATCTGTCTAAATATACTCTAAGATACTGACAGAACACTATCTTTTCTCCCATATTGTCTTGACTTTTACCATTTTGCTGATGTGAGTTGCATCTCAATAGGCTTATCCCTCTGTAACATCTTCACAAAAATTTGTGGTAACAATTCTCCATCAACCAAAACTAGAAATAAAACAAACAAGAATTAAGGCATTCTTTAATCTACAAAGTTTTATAAAATAAATCATGTAGGTGTCACTGGAAGTTCAGCCTACCATTTACCAGGGTCATCGATACCTGGGGGTTTTCAAAAGCTAAAACTGAGAAGCATTTCAGTGCTTGCATTCGAACCTATAAAAATAAATAAACAAAGCATTTATTTTAAATTTTGCAAATATGGATTTTAATGTTTCAAAATCTAAACTTTTCTGAAGAAATAACTATTTAAATCTGCTAAAGTACTAAAGGAAGAACTCAAGCAAACAGAAATAAGACTTGTATATCTGAAGAGCGCAGTAAATTACAATGAATTATAAAAGATTAAAATTAATTTTGAAGTAATGGAAAAGCAAAGACAGCAAAGTAGCAACTAAAATTGAACTAGATAAATCCCTAATCAAATTGAAAAGAACAATGTATAAAATACAATGTTGGTAAAGCAAAGGGAACTTAATAACAATTACTAACTGCTTTTCTAATGGGACATTTCTTCTTCCCAAGCTACAAAAAACAGAGACCTGGGAGGGGGTTAAAAAATAAAAAAGAGTACCTTACTCTTATAGTTGTACATGAGATAAGGATGGCGACAATAAAAGTTTGAAAAGGACTAAACTAATTTAACTTTTAAAATACCCACACATTGTGCTCCCATTCCTTAAAACCAGGTAACTGGTCTGGGAATGATACCAAGGGTCCAAACTCTCGACCACATATACAATATATTTTATAATTTGCAGGAGCTCTTATAAGAGTTACTATCTTTCAGTCTTTCTGTCCAGTTTTCACCACATAACTAATCCTCACTTCCAAGACTGAGTCCATATTTAGTATTCTTTTTTTCTTTTCTTTTTTTTTTATCCTCACCTGAGGACATTTTTCCATTTTTTGTTCAGATAGAGCGGGAGGGAGAGAGAGGAAGAGAGAGAGAGAGAAACATCGATGTGAAGGGACACATCGAGTGGCTGCCACCCGCACGACCAACCAGGGCCGGGGACAAACTGCAACCGAGGTACGTGCCCTTAGCGGAAACCGAACCCGGGTCTCTCTGTACCGCAGGCCGACGCTCCAACCGCTGAGCCAAACCGGCCAGGGCCATATTTAGTATTCTTATGTGGAACCCGGAACTGGCAGGATAGGTAGTTGAGGTGTGAAGAAACATGTCCCTCACTTGAGCACTACTCTTATTCCTTGTGAGCTCTTCACCAAGAGTGAACTTTGGCCTCTGAGATAGGGAAAACACACATATTAGCAGGCTGTAATGAAGCTAAGGTCCAAAAGAGCAGACTAGGATAAGTATAAATGGATAGAAGACAAAATGACCACTTCTCTGCTCTCCAGGAAACTGCTAGTATACCCAGCTCTACCGCGACACAACAAGGACAACATCCCAATATCTGCTACAATTTGTTAACCGAACAATAATGTCCAAAAGTTTTAGCTAAATGCCTGATAATCTATCATGATGCTACTTACCTATATATAAAAGAGAGTAAAAAAAAATTTAATTAACAAGCCTGAAAACCCTTTACTTTTTAACTCAAAATACAAAACAATACATTTTAAATGTTGATATGTGAGTATAGACTATAAGTTTGAGTCACTGTGGCTAAAAAAAGGTCTCAAATATGGAAATCAAAGTTTTTTTCTGATATAGCAAGACATTGCTCCTATATACTTCAATGCATCAGCTCTGGCATGAATACCTAACTGAACAGATTACTAATGATCACAGGTGAGACTCAATAGCAGTTCATGCCACAACCATATTCTGAAAAAAATGGAAAGGTAAGGGTAGCTATTCTTTTTTTCAAAGCAAATAATACAGATAAGACAATGTCCCATAACATTTTATTGATAAAGTAAAGATATTACTCTTGATCATAATATTATCTATCAAAGAAGGAGTAAAATATGTGGGTCTCCCTAGAGCAAGAGTCTAGAAATCAAAATAAAGTACAAAAATCTGGACATAGCCCTGGCCGGTTTGGCTCAGCGGTTGGAGCACTGGCTTGCAGACCAGAGAGTCCCGGGTTCGGTTTCCGCTAGGGGCATGTACCAAAAATAAATAAATAAATAAACAAACAAATAAAAATCTAGACATAATTATTAACATCTTACTTTGTAAGATACTGAGGTTAGTAGGTGAGCAATATTCTGAACTGCACCATGGTTAAATAAAATTGTTTGATGATCTGGACCCTGTAAGAAAAGAGAATATAGGAATACATTAAAAAGAGCAATGATTCATTCCAATAAAACATTTACTTAAATGTAGAAAACCACACTCAATACAATGCAGAATTCTGTTACCCTTCTCTTGCATAAACTCATCCCCTCCAAAAGCAAGTAGACACTATTTTTAGTCCTGCAAGGGACTACCATATCTTATGTCTTCCCTGTTCTGTAGAATTACTGCCTCCTTACCTCTCCCAAATAATGAAGGAGGCAGAGAAGCTATCCTGGCACAGGCCCTTTGCAATTCTTAAATAGATACCATCACAGCAACGGAACCACTGTGAATTCTGCATTTCACATTCACTCCCCTCACCCTATGCCCACAGGAGATAGCGGTAGTAATTCTTTAAAGTAAGAATTACTTTAAGACTAATGAACTAGTGAGATCTCTAAAACTAAGTAATTGCAGGAGGAACTGGAGCACAGACTAACCAATCTCAACACATCAGGAAGTTTGAGTAATGGGGGGTGGGAAATACAATACTCCACAACTGGGCTGTGAACGTGTTTTGGTTTCTGTTTCAATTTCATTTCTCTTCTTAAAATTATCACTTCTTAGAGTAGCAAGGTGAAGAAATAGAAAAATTCAGCTATTTTATTTTTCATCAACTGCTTTCTACTAATCAATTTACTGAAGGTCTTTAAAGTGGCAGAAGCTAAAGATTAATGCAAGGCTTCAAATCTGCCCCAGTTTTTTTATTTATTGATTTTATATCCCACCTATCTACCCACTCAAATAATGAAAAGTCAATTAAAGCCAGGACAAGGGTGGTATGTCATGCTTATCATTATTCAGAAGATAAAAATGTAGCACTGAAAGGTAGACTGCCTGTCTGGGTTTATCACAGGAAACCAGTTACTAGTTTAGAAAAAGAACTCTCAAACCAATTTATCCAACCCACTCTTTAGCTCAGTAACACCTGTCTTATAGGTTCTCATTCTTTCTTGGACCAAAATATCCATCATTTGAAGTGGGGAGATTAGCATTCATACTTCTGAATAACAAAACAGCCATATTCTATTTTATAAGTAATAATCCCCTAAACATTTTATATACTATTAAAAGCGTCCTTTAAAAAAGAGATTAAAGAAAATTTAATTAACAAGTCTGAAAACCCTTTACTTTTTAACTCAAAATACAAAACAATACATTTTAAATGTTGATATGTGAGTTTAGACTGTAAGTTTAAAAAACAACTTGGCCGGTTTGGCTCAGCGGTTAGAGCATCGCCCTGCAGACCAGAGAGTCCCGGGTTGGATTCCCGCTAAGGGCACCTCGGTTGCAGTTTATCCCTGGCCATGGTTGGGGTCATGTGGGTGGCAGCCACTCAATGTGTCTCTCTCACGTTGATGTTTCTCTCTCTCTCTCTCTCGTCCCCCTCTCTCCCTCTCACTCTATCTGAAGATAAATGCAAAAATGTCCTCGGGTAAAAAAAAACAAAAACCTTCAGCTCAGATAGTGTGGCTCAGTAGACTGAGCATCGTCCCATGGACTGAGAGGTCCAGTTCGATTTCCGGTCAGGACACATGCCAGGGTTGTGGGCTTGATCCTGAGTGGGGGCATGCAGGAGGCAGCTGATCAATGTTTCTCTCTCACATCAATGTTTCTATCTCTCCCATTCTAAAAAAAAACCAAATCAATAAAAAAGGAAAAACAAAACTTTAGCAATTTCTTAGTTTCTATACATTTTCTAAATTCTAATTTCTTATTTTCAATCACTGTATGAGTATGATATTCCACAGTTTACTCAGACAAACCCTGATTACATACTTTATGTAGTTTCTAATGTCTCACTATTATAAACAATGTTTTGTTGAATTTTATTAAAGCCGCATCTCAGTGAAGATTCTTAGGGAATGAGGATAAATTCCTGGAGTACAACTGCTTGCTATTATTTATCACTGTATATCCATCCTGAATGGTGCAAACTTGCCCTTATAATTGAAAATACTGTCATTCTCAGGACATAGGCTGAAAGTATGCTCTCTGTCTTTCTATCTCATTCTCATCCATCCATGCATCTGCAAATATAATTATAGGTACTACTTCTTAACTTGTTATGTGCTGGGCACTGCTCTAAATGCTTTACTTGAATTGTCTCATTTGAAACATAGGAGCCTCTGGCTGATTTATTATAAAGACAGTGGTAGAGGCTGTAATGGGGGAGCCAAGGAAAAGAAGGGTCTCCTAAGAATCTGAGCCACTTTTTTTCTAATCTACTAACAAGTAAGTAACTAGAATAAATTGTGAAGATAAGCCTAAATTAGCCTTGGCTGACATGTCAGCATACTAAGATATTTTTACCTTCCTTATAAAAAACATCCCAATTTAAATATTGGCAGTGCTTAGCAGAATAGCTAAGTGGGCAGGGTGCTGCCTCCACCCCTTTCACCTCATTGTCTTTCTACCTCTGTATTCAGCCAATCTGTTCCCTTGCTTTGAGGTGACCTAATATTAATACATTGTTTTATATTTGTCAAGACATTTTATATATATACAAATACATAAGTATATTCTTTCCTTCTTTTTAAACACAAATAGAATACTACATATATGTTTATATATAGTACACCTAAAGTATTATATATACTATCAATATGTACTTAATATATAGTACTATATGTAAAGTACTATATAAATATAAATTTTATTATATATATTACCTTAAACCTTTTATTTCTTTTATAATATATCTCAGAGATCATTCAAGTTAGTATATAAAGAACTTTCTCTCTCTCTCTCTCTCTTTTTGTTTTTTTGGCCTTATTTCATTGTATGAATGCCCCATAATTTAACTAGTACTCTGTAGTTAGACATTTAGATTGTTTTCAGTCTTTTACTATTACAAACATCAATGAATATCCATGTGCAAGCTTTTTTTTCCCCTTAAGAGATGTATCACTTATGGAATATCTTACTGATGGAGTTATGTTTATAAATGATCAATCACAATGCAATCCTGTGAACACGACCAACCAGGGCCGGGGACAAACTGCAACTGAGGCACACGCCCCTAGCGGGAACCGAACCCGGGTCTCTCTGAACCGCAGACCGATGCTCCAACCGCTGAACCAAACCGGCCAGGGCGATAAACTGTACTTTTTTAATCTCTCAAATTCTTTTGTCCAAAGATTGTAGCAAATATCTGTTACAAAACTTCCTCTTCTCTGTGGTCCTACATAGGATTGTGCAAAATCAACTGCAAGGAAAGAATTAGTGGCTGTACCAACTAGAGAAGAGGCGGTATCATTTGATTCTCATCAAGTCTCTCTGGTCTCTCCACATCAACCTGCATGAACCTAGGGTTATGCAGGCAGCATTCACAGGGTAAGAGGCTCATAAGCCCTCGTGATCTTACACTCCAGAAGGTTCATCTCCAGAAATTTGAGTAACTGCTTAAGAAGTGAAAATAATTTAGAAGTTAGAGCTCCAATTAATATTATTGCTAGCCTTTGTTTGCTTCTTAATAAATCAGGGAGAGAAAATTTCAAAGATAAAATTATGATTAGCTTATAACACGAACATTTTAGTGATCTCTTTTTCTTTCTCCTCTCTCTAAAGTATGTATATTTATTTGATACTAATACCAATATATGCAAATTTGTGAATGAGTCTTAAGATTCTATTATAAATCTTATGTGTTAACTGAACAACATGAAAATAAAAGGTATTTTTATCATTAATGACAACACAGAGATCATCAGATCAGTTATTTTCAAAGACACCTATTTTTAGTATATCAGTAGAGAAATTAACATTGTATTTTAGGCTATTTCTATTGTCATTGGGTTTATAAATGCCATGTTTCCTGAGGTCTAGTTATATCTCAGAACACTTGAATTTGGTCATTTAATTACAGTGGCAAATGCTCATTATCAGGCTAAAAGAAAGCTGAGTTAAGATGAATCTCTCTGTTATCTTCAGTTCTATTAGGCATGAGGTGCCTGTAAATTCTTGCTCAGCATAAGTTTCTCTCCAGCACAAAAACTAGTGATTTAATGGTATTCCTTTATCTATGATTTCAGCTAAAACAGCACTGAGAAGTTTCACATGAGCAAGCCTTAAAGTGGTGAGAAGTTTCTAATAAAAAATTCTAAAGCAGCCCTGGCTGGTTTGGCTCGGCAGTTGGAGCATCAGCCTGTGGTCCAGAGAGACCCGGGTTCGGTTACCGCTAGGGGCACATACCTCGTTTGCAGTTTGTCCACGGCCCTGGTTGGGTCATGCGGGTGGCAACCAGTAGATGTGTCCCTTTCATATCGATGGTTCTCTCTCTCTCTCTCTCCCCCTCCCACTCTATCTGACCAAAACATGGAAAAATGTTCTCAGGTGAAGATAAAAAAAAAAAAAAATTCTAAAAGCAATTTGGGTAACTTCAGGAATGGGCTTCTTCAAACTTCTCATAATTTAACATGTAGCAGTTATAGACATCCAACTAGAGAGAAGGAGGTATCATTTGATTATTATCAAGTCTCTCTGGCCTCTCCACATCAACCTGCGTGAATTTTCAGCACCTTTCAGGATTCCTGTAGTTATAAGTAGTAGATGCTGTGTTCTGGAGCACTCAGGTATAAAGGCTCAAAGATTTTTAATGATGCATAAAATGATGGAGTATGCATTTCTATCTGCCAGGGCTTGCTACAAGACATCATTTCTCTGTTGGAAGATTCTAGACACGGTTAGTTTGGCTCATTTTCAGTATATGAATTACAACAAAAGTATTGTTTTCTTGAAGCCTTTCTTTGCCCACCTCGAAAGACTAAGGGATCATTTGACATCCCTGGTCCTGTGAGTCAGCTTATACACTGTCAAAGCAATACAGGAAGAGAAACTTCAAAGATTTATGACCAAAAAAAACCTTAAATTCTAAATGCCCTTAATAAAATTAAATAGGCTCTGATCTTCCTCTAGCGGTTTATTTAAACATTTAAATTATAATCAGTAAGTAAATTTTTTGGAACTAAATTATTTAATTTTCATTTATTTGTGAAACTGTTCTAGTATGTAGGTGTTCATGTCTCTTTCCCTTTTTTCCTATAGTTCCCCAAACTCCTCATTTTGTATTTATATTATAATGATAGATGAGTAATGTTGTCCTGGAAAATTACAGAATCATCAGATGATAAACACTTATTTGGTTAGAGGTTAGCAAATGTGTAGAAATTCTGAAAGATCTCAAATAATCACCCATTGTTATCAAAAGAGTACACTCAATGTATAAACTATGAAGCAAAATAAATAGCAACTCATAGCCCTCTTCAGGGTCTTTTAGTAACAGAAATTTCTCTCAACAGAGAGCATAAGAATCTCTCAGTTCTCCTTGTATGAGATCACTTAAAATAACTGCCAAATATGTGGAAACTGAGAGTGTAGGGAAACAGTCATGATCACACACTGCTGGTATGAGTATAAAATAGTACAACCTCCATACAAGACAGTATATGGTAAAGTTACAAAACACACACTCTTTGATTCGGCAATTCCATTTCTTATAAAGTATCTTACATACAAGGTATTTGTTGCAGCATTGGTTTGTAATAATATTAAGACAGGGAACAAGCTAAATGTCCAATAATAGAGGACTGGTTAAATAAATTACTGTACATCTATATAATAAAATACTACATTACTGTTCATAAAAAAATAAATGAGGGAGCTCTTTATGTACTGGTATAGAACAGCTTCAAATTATGTTAAGTGAAAAATGCAAGGTGCAGAAAGTATATATGGCATATTTTTGTTTATATCAAAAAAGGGGGGGAAGGACATAGACATAGGTCTGCTTATATATATAGATTATCTCTGGGAGGATACACAAAGTAGGCACATCTCCTGAGGACATATAAGATTTTACATTACAGAGAATATTTATTCTGGTTCTTACTTTACAGCAGTGCGAGAAGATCTGGCAGATGTACTCCTGGGTGTAGCGCGACCTGCTAAGCAGTGCCATGAGGTGTGGTATCACCGTAGCATCCTGGGGATGAAGGGAAGGAGAGCACAGCAACAAGGCACTTAGGCACTGTGGAGCACATCTAACAACCTATTTCCATGAGCTGGTACTCATGCAAGCCTATTATCTTAATGTCAGTAAAGGTCTGCTTAAGGAACACAGGAAAACAAAAGCAACATGGCCATCAAGATTGTCTGGGCAAAGAATAAGGAGAAGGACTTTAATATTCATCCTTGACAATAAAATACAAAAACAGAAAATTCTCAATTTCTTTCCCATCAACAGCCTACAATCCCACAATAAAACAAAATCAGTCAGAAATCTGTTCTGAAACCCAAATTTCAGGTAACTAGTAAGATATACAATAATAAATGGCTTATAAGGAGGAATCCTTATATAAAAATAAAACTTGGCAATTATGATCTGAGATGTTATGGTAAGTATCAGTTATCAGTAACTATCTCTCATAATGACTACAGTTAGCTAATTTCAGTCTTCACAATACCAACTTCTCATTTACAGCATACACTCTACCTATTGCTGACACCTAGCAACATATGTGATAGTTCAGTAGAGAGAAGAATCCACCCAACCTGTTGCAGGGCTCTCCAAGAATCTCCTTTTTCTCAGAATGTGAAAGGATTTAGTTGAAAGGGGATTTGAAATGAACCACAGATGGAAAGGCTATACTCACACATCCTTGTCAGTGCTGTCATGGGTCCCAGAGAGCTGCTTCTCAAGAATGAATGTGCATGCAAATTCCCAGAAGATAGTCTTTATGTGCACATTATGACTCTGTAGTTTTGGAGTAGGGACCTAAGATTCTGCATTCTAACTAGTTCCCAAAGGAGGTCAATGCTGCTGGTCCATAGACCACACTTTGACAAAAGACAATAGAAGCAAGGAAGAAAACTTAATAGAATAACACTGTTGGGATGAACAAGATTTGGGGTTTCTCTTAGAAAGAAAAGAATGTCCAAGACATATAAAACTAAGTAGAAAAAGAAAAGGTTGTTGATTCCCAAGTAGAATCTTTTCCCCTTGCTTGTTAGTATAATCCTCTGTGTCATAACAAGCAGCTTAAAAACAAAATGTAAATCTTAGAAAAACCTAAAAAAAAAAAGTCAGGTACTAAATGCAGAGAAAGAAGGGAGAAGATGGGGACTGGAGGGGGAGGAAAACAGTGGTTCCATTGGCAGAAGACAGGGATGCAGTTAGCAGCTAAGACAGATCACGCAGTCAAGAGGAAGATTTTTTTTAAATCTCTTAGGCTCCTGAGAGGAAGATTAAAAAAAAAAAAAAAAAAAAAAAGCCTCTATTAGGCTCCTAAAATCATTTCCACCTCCTTCCTTCCTCTATTGTTGTTATCCCTCAGTTTTCCTGCATTTCTACACACCTGCTCCCCCTTTCCATCAATTCTGTTATATATCTGCAGTTTATCGTTGCGCAAACAGGCACAGAATAGTTACATAATTTGCCCATTGGATAAGCAGGATTTCAAGGAGCCTGCCTTCCTCCAATCTTCGGGTGAGTGCCCGAGGTGCTGCAGCAGCTGGCCTCTTCACTACCCAACTCACAGACGACAGTTAATGACCCTGAAACTCTACTTTCTGTTGTTACCCTTTACAAAACTTTTCATGGATTCTCCACTATCTCTGAAGCATAAAATTGAGAAGCTTCATAATTTACATGTTCTTACTGTGAAAGTCACTCAATGTCCCTGTAAGAAAGTTAAGGTGGTGTCGACCAGAGCCTTCCAAATTATGCAACATGATTCATAAGTGAGTTATGAAGTTACTTTAGAGGGTGAGGAAAAAGGAGTTAAAATGGATGGCCAGGATTGATTTCTCCCTCTATTATTGACTAGGCTGGGGGTTGAGGGGAAACTCTAGGGCAGTGATTTTCAACCTTTTTCATCTCATGGCACACATAAATTACTAAAAACTCTGCAGTACACCAAAAAATATATTTCTCTGTCAATCTGATGCTATTATTATGTTGGCTGTTGTCATTTTTTAATCTGATAATCTAACGGAAAAGAGGCCAGTGACCCTGATTAGTAAGGTATTGCAAGTTTTTTTTTTTTAATTAGGGGGGAGAGAGAGAGAGAGAAACATTGACATGAAAGGGACACATTGAGTGGTTGCCACCCACATGACCCAACCAGAGCTGAGGACATACTGCAACCGAGGTACATGCCCTTAGCGGGAGCCAAACCCAGGTCTCTCTGGACCACAGACCAATGCTCTAACGGCTGAGCCAAACTGGCCAGGGCAAGTAGTACAAGTTTTAAAAATTCTTGTGGCGCCCTGGCCAGTTTGGCTCGGCGGTTAGAGCGTTGGGCCACATACCAAAGAGTTGCAGGTTCGATTCTGGTCATGGGCACATACCTCAGTTGTGGTTTGGTCCTGGCCCTGGTCAAGGTCATGCAGGAGGCAACCAATTAATGTGTCTCTCTCACATCGATGTTTCTTTCTTCCCCTCCCCCCACTCCATCTTAAGACAAATTGAAAAGCATCCTTGAGTGAGGATTTAAAACAAAAAAATTCTTGCGGCGCATCAGTAAGGTAAAGAAGACTAGTGACTGGTTTAATCTCTTTGTAAACAATAGGACCTTAGGAAAACAGACTGACATTTTCTAGGAGGAGAGTCCTGTGGAATGCTTCAAGGAGAATGCTTATAGTACCAGTGGTTCCCAAAGAGTGGTCCAAGAACCAGTAGCATCTAAGTTACCTGGAAACTTGTTAGAAACAAATTCTCAGGCCCCACCCGACACAGAGAATCAGAACTCTAGAGCAGTGGTTCTCAACCCTCCTAATGCTGCGACCCTTTAATACAGTTCCTCGTGTTGTGGTGACCCCCAACCATAAAATTATTATTATTATTATTTTTTTGTTCAGGTAGAGTGGGAGGGAGAGAGAGGAACAGAGAGAAACATCAATGTGAAAGGAACACATCGAGTGGCTGCCACCCGCACGACTGACCAGAGCCGAGGACAAACTGCAACCGAGGTACGTGCCCTTAGCGGGAACCGAACCCGGGTCTCTCAGGACCGCAGGCCGACGCTTTAACCGCTGAGCCAAACCGGCCAGGGCCATAAAATTATTTTTGTTGCTACTTCATAACTGTAATTTTGCTACTGTTATGAATCGCCATCAGAAATATGTGTTTCCCGATGGTCTTAGGCGACTCCTGTGAAAGGGTAGCTCGACCCCCAAAGGGGTCGTGACCCACAGGTTGAGAACCGCTGCTCTAGAGGTAAGGTCTAGTAATCTGTGTTTAACAAGCCCTCCAGGTAATTCTGGTGCATGCTCAAGTTTGAGAACCACTGTAGTAAACAATTTACAGATTTATGAGGCATGGCTTCCTGAAGAATGTCACACAAATCCCTAGGGTATAAAATTGAGATGTTTCATCATTTAGAGCCTCCTTGCTGTTCAAGGTGACTCACAAATCTCCCTTATAATACTTATATATCATTACCAGCCAGAGGAACATGCGTCTGATGTGGGGAGGATTATGAAGCCACGTGACATGTCCTCCCTCCCTGATTATTTTTCCACTGCCTCTTGATTACTTATGTTCTTAAGATTTTTGTAAAGCATGATTCTGGGTAAGATCTCTGAGTCATATGTGCTTGATTTGACATTCTGATTCTTTGTGTTGACTCAGAGAATGACAACCAGCATTTTTTTTTTGGTTAATCCTCACTTGAGGATATTTTTCCATTGATTTTGTAGATAAGAGTGGAAGGGAGGTAAGGAAAGGGAGAGGGGGAAAGGGTAAGAGAGGGGAGAGAACGAGAGACAGACACATCGATGTGAGAGAGACACATCTATTGGCTACCTCCCTCATGACCCCAACATGGCCAGGGATGGATCTGCAACATAGGTATGTGCCCTTGACAGGGAATCGAACGAACTAGTGACCTTTCAGTCCGAGGGCCGATGCTCTAACCACTGAGCAAAACCGGCCAGGTCTCAACCAGCATTTTTCAATAAAAAAGGATATAATAGAAACCAGAGGGCATCACACTTATGGAATTGTTTTGTGAAGACCGTCTCAGGGTTCTCTCTCTCCCTCTCTCTCTCACACACACAAATTCACACATATGTACAGTGTGGCAATGAACAATATATTTCTTACTGTGGATTGTGGATAAGGGTATTTAAAAAATATTGGCCTGGATAATTTTCATTAAGAAAGCGCCATGTAATCCACAGATGAAAACACCCCCTAATAATGCCTGAAGTTTCCAAAGATCTTTGGATTCTCTCACAAGTAGTCTCTTAGTCTGGCAAATAAGCCTCTTACAAGCTGAATTCTGCTTCACCTCTCCAATGGAAACTAACACTGATACCCTTCCCATATTAGACTACCCTGCCCACCATCCTGCATATTCTCTTGCACAGATCTTTCCTAGACTGGCCTCTTTACTCTCTAAATCTTATCCATTATTCAAGACCCAGGTCAAATTCTAGCTTCTCTATATAGTCTTCTCTGCTGGATTTAACCTAGAGTGAGCAGGACTCCCTATCACTCACTTAGCATTAAACATATTGTCTTAATTTGTATATAGTAAGAGATCAAAATGGGTCTTTTAAAAAAATAGCTTATAAGTTCCTCAAGGTCTGAAACTATCTTTCACTTCTTTACAAAGCCTAGACCATTTGATGTTTGCAAATTAGTAAGAACTCAAGTACTTCTTGAGACTTTTATAATATAACACAGTTGAGTCTTGAGATGCTAAGTAAATTAGAAGTATGATGTTAGTGAAATGTAACTGAGGATTCAAACACATCTAAAACTCACTGTGTACAATAACTCCTCTGGAGTGACGGGACTGGTGAAGATGGTACGCAGGCATCGAAGGCAAGCTTCAATAAACTTCAGGTCTGGGGACAATAGTCCTATTAATAAAAAACAGATTTGAAGCTTATCTTTTCAACCCATATTTAAAACTGCAAACTGATTCTGATTTTTACTCGTGCAAATATGACTTCCCTACATACCTTGCAGTAAGGCAGGGATAATATGGCAATCTAGTAGAGACTTGACATTGTTTTCGGTACCCATAGCAAGACTTCCCAATACCACTGCACATTCAGTTTTCAGCTCTGTACTTGAAGTTTCTTGCTGAAGCAAGTACAACAATCTAAAAAGAATGAATTTGATAAACAGAAGAGACTAAAAAACTTAAACAAAAGTAAATTAGCTAAAAGTCATGTGACAGGAAAAAGCTACCAATACATCGCACATACTAGAAATATTGTTGGTTAGCTAATAGAGGATAGAAAATAGTCATTTATCAGCTGCTAATTTAGTAAAGGATTATCTGGAAAAAAAATCTAAAAGAGATTTTCTTCATTTTGAGCAAAAGAACTCAAATAATCTCAAGAGTTTATCAAAACTATAAATCTGAAAGTTCTCCAAAGTGTTCTCTGTAGAAACAGCAACATCACAGTCCATGTTATCTACCACTTCAAAATATGAAGACAACCAATGCCAAGTGCTGCTGGATCTTACATTCAGATGAGAAATGGACCTTGAATAACCAGAGTATAGTTCAGAGATCAGAGAGGTCAAGCCTAGAGGAAATAATCAGAATCCTTGTGCAGCTCTTCGAGCAAGGGAAGCTCTCTTCTTTCTCCAATTCTCCCATTTGGAAAATCAGTGGGTCCTCCCATTTCCATTCCAGCCCAGCCTGCCAAACAACTACTCTCCAAATTCTAACCATCCACAACTTAATGGCCATCTCCCTTATCTAAGGTAGAACTCTCATGTTCCCTAAAGCATATTCATATACTGAATACTAATGCCCTAAAAAGGCTACTGATGCTTTATGGTTACCAAAGTATATTTGAAGTTGGTTATTATAAAAACAATACAACCATTAATCCCATTTCAAAAGATAAAAGAGAACAGAAAATAAAACACAAAACATTTAAAAATTCTGAATGATAAACTTATAGCAACTACACATAAAACTTAGTTCTGAGTAGCAAAGGCAAATAGAAAGTTATACAACTGTCATTATCTGCCAAAAGAAAGCTTAGATCAGGAGAAATCACTTTCTTTTAAACTTAAAAAACAGCAAATTCAAAAAATTAGAAATTAAATAAAGAAAAGCAGAATTAAAGACCAACCAGGTCTCTCTCTCTCTTTTTTTAATTCAAAAAAGATTTTGAGAATCTGAGAAACTGTTATTCAATCTTACAAAAACTGCCAGAGCTCTAAGTAGGCAGGGAGGAATGAATCAGGCTGGTACACTGCCTCTCTATCCAACACATTCTTTTATTGCAAGGTCGACGAATTTCCAAAAAGTATTCATACATTCACTTCATAGTCCCTTCTCTGGTACTTCAATTTAGTTTGCTTTTTTAAATTTTACCGATGCTTCATATTACTCCTGGCATTTATTAAACAAAGTAAGAGCTTTTCAAAAACAGAACAGGCAATACAGAAAAAAGACTGGTCTTATGGTTGAAAATCAGAAATACATTGGAATTAGCATGAATAGCAGAAAAGGGAATCATAGCAAACATACCTTGGAACAGCTCCTAAAACAATGAGGTTGGCCTTCTGCTTGTTATTTCCAATTACAGCATTTTTCATGTCTCTGAATTCAGGGGAAGAGAAAAAGGTTGAAACGTCATGAAAACTCAAAGATCAATTCATTCTACTTTATCATTATTATGCAAGATCTTGGATTGGCAAGTATAGAAGTTAGTGACAAAGTCCAAGCACTGACGCCCCTCACTCCCACCCCGGCCCGCCAATGCCAAAGAGAAGGGATCAAAACAGATACTAAAGAACCAGGGGGCTATAAAACAAGAAAGTAGTGAAATGGGGAAAGTGGGAGATATCCTGATTACTGGCAAAAGACTTCCAATACAAAAAAATCTGAGTTCTTCAACAAAGGCCACCGAACCTTTGAATATAAAGAAATAGAGACCCACCTCCTCACTCACAGATCTGGGAGTACAAAGTAAAAGCAACCAGCCCACAGAATGTATCTGAGCTTGTTTCAGAGAAAATAATTTTTTTCTGACTTCTTTTGGACTGAATATTTCTTATGATTCTGTTTTATTCCCTTTGTCTCATTAGCTGTACCTATTTGGGTTTTGTTCTGTTGTTTTTTGAGTGGTTGCTTTACAATCTAAAATGTGCACGTTTCAACAATCTTCAAAGGGATATTATCCCCATTTCAGGTGTATTGTAAGAGCATTGCAAGTATAATATATACTTCCATTTCCCCATTCATTCTTTGTGCTGCTCCTGTCACCCATTATATTTTTAAATTGATTAGAAATAACAGAATATACTGTTACTCTATTTGCTTAAGCAGCCAATTATCTTTTAAGGAGATTTAAAAAATTTTTTAAATCTTTTATATTTCTTACATATTCACTAGTAATTTTTATTTTAGCTACACTCAGATCTTTAATTTACCAGGAATAAAACTTCGCTGATAAGAGTATCTCTATCATGGACCAACTGATACACAAATATGAGGTTGGTCCCAAAGGACAGGTTTGAAAAAAAACAAAAAAAACCTCAAAATAAACCTAGTACAATTAATAAAATGTTAAAAAAATACCCTAATTGGTCAGTAGTCCTATCTTAATACAGAACACTGGAACAACTATGTGATCTTCATAGCAGTGGTTCTTAATTTTTTTTTTTTTTATCCTCACCCGAGGACATTTCTCCATTTTTTGTTCAGGTAGAGTGGGAGGGAGAGAGAGGAACAGAGAGAGAGAGAGAAACATCGATGCGAAAGGGACACATCGAGTGGCTGCCACCCGCACGACTGACCAGAGCCGGGGACAAACTGCAACCGAGGTACATGCCCTTAGCGGGAACCAAACCCGGGTCTCTCAGGACCGCAGGCCGACGCTCCAACCGCTGAGCCAAACAGGCCAGGGCATAGCAGTGGTTCTCAAAGTGGGAAAAAAAGGCATTACAGTCCCCTACAGGCATGTCAAAAGTTTATGAGGGCCCAGCCGGTGTGGCTCAGTGGTTGAGCTTCGATCCATGTATCAGGGGTCGCCAGTTCGAATTCCGGTCAGGGCACATGCCCAGGTTGTGGCCTAAATCCCCAGCGGGGGGCATGCTGAATGTTTCTCTCTCTCTCCCCCTCTCCCTTCCTCCCTCTCTAAAAAAAAAGTTTATGAGGTGTCTGGAAATAACTGGTCATAGTTTCACAAATAGCGAGCATTTTTTGCAGTTCTTCAAAAAATTATAATTTTCAGTACTGTACCTGCTGTTAATAAAAGGGAGATTATACTTTTTATTAAGAGTTATTTCATTTGGAAAATCAGATCACTAGCACAGTGGTACTTGTGGTATCTGAGTCATCAATACCATACACCTACATCAGCCCACATTTGTAGCCCTTGCATTCACACTACTTCATTAAGCTTTCTGACATAGTCACACCTAAGCATTTACATACTGAAATATTAGAAATTACCTTCTTTTTTATTTCTCCTTTATATTATATGGAGGAAAGGCATTATTTTTAGAGTTATGCATGTGAGTAAGTTATATCATTATGAATTTAATTTCAGCACAGTACAGAGGATGTTATAAAATATTTATAAGGGGAAGGAAGTCATGTCTGATAGCATTAAGGTCATTGCTAGCACAGAGCCTCAAAGTTCTTAGCTCACCCATTTCTTTCTGACTCAAAATAAGCTCCCCTTGATACTGATCACAGCATCTCTTTTGACTTCCCCTCTTTTAGGTGGCAGAACTCTACAATATATAGGAGTGTTTTGGGTTTTTTTTGCCAATACCGAAAATTACAATGCTAAAAAAGTGGTAGAGTTGGCAGACCATGATCTTGTAGAAAATGGGGGGTGGGGGGAGGTTACTTTAAAAAAAATCAACAACTAATTGTTACAGTCAGCATGTATTTCCAATACCAAGCAAATTCACTGGCATTTAAAACTCTGGTAATAATTATAATATCCTTCTCCTCAATTACCTTCTTCGATTATTGCAGAAACACATGACTATGGCATAGTGCTCTGCTGAAAGCTGATTCTCCCCACAAATTTTGAACAACGTTTTCACAAGTCTTGAGCCAAACACTGTGTACTGGCCTAGTCTTCTTCCTAGCTCGGTGCCTGAGGGTAGGTCTATTCCTCAGGGCCTCATTTGTCTCTCTGTAAACTATTCTTCAGATCTTCCACATGGTTCACAGGGGATAGTAGGAATATTTTTTGTTTATGGGTACTAAATTGAATGAAGCTTACTAAGGTTCTTACTAGTTCTGATACATGATTTTTAAATTACATGATATCAAAGCCTCATTTTGCAAAGCATAGTTGTGAGAGACTACATCTAGGCTCCCGCCTCCTTATGGATGCCTGCAGTTTTCTTAGAGACTTACTTTGCAATTATCAGCTTACAGACCCTAACCTGCCATTTACTCTCATTTTCTTTCCTTCTCTTAATATGTTCTGCCTATACCAGTGCAGCACATTCATTTGTCCAGCAGATATCTACTGAGGGTCTCTTTTGTGCCAGGTGCCATTCTGGATGCTCTCTCTATTTTGGAACTCCCAGCTGTAATATTTTTCCAGATTTCTTCTCATTCTTCCTAAACTAAGCAGAAATGAGGTATCCCCACATTACCACATAAACACAATCTAAATATCTGAAATCATGCCAAAGTAAATGCTTTTACAGACAAAAAGCAAACAAAATACTTTTATAGAGTAAATCTAGATTAAAAGAGAATACAAGTAATAAAATGGACCAATGTCTAAAGAAAGCAATTCTTGCTCGAGCTGTAATAAGTAAAATATGCCTATGCTAGATAAGGAAGAAGAGATGTTAATGCCCAGCAAATACATTCTATTCAGCTATTGCTATAAAGAGATCATTTCTTTTTTTTTTTTTTGTTACGTGCCTCTAGCCACTAGCCGCTAGCGGGAACTGAATCCAGGACTCCATGGTCCTTAGGCCAACGCTCCAACCGCTGAGCCAAACCGGCCAGGGCTAAAGGGATCATTTCTATGAAGAGTTAAAACCAAAAAGGCAATAATTACCACATATACCCATCTTTAGCAGATCTAAGTACAGCATAGGATTCCATTTCAGAGCCACCCAGATGAAGCTTCTTGTTCCCAGATCACAGCTATTCTCTCATCTCCTTACCCTCTTCCTCATACCTTTATACCCTTCCCAGGCTAACCACTCATCTTTCAGGTCTGAACTTTGACTTCCTCCAAGAAGCATGACCTGACAACTCCCAGGTCTAGGTTAGAGGTACCCTCTGTCATAACACACTCATTACTTTTTAGGATAGAAATCTGTTTCTTAAGAGGCCCGACCTGCAACTACCAGAGAAGTTACTATCAGTGGATAACAAAATGTACCATATAGAAATCCATATTTTTGTAAAATGCAAACTCACAACTACCATCCAAGATGAAAGTACAACAAAACTATGCAAGATACTGCTATTTATATACTGCTTTGAAAATTACAAAGCATGTCATAGCCATTATTTTATTTAGTCTTCATCACAACCTTGAGTAAGTTTAACCTCACATTACAGATAAGGAAGCTAGATTCAAGTTCAGGGCTTTTCTCAGAGTTCCACATTAAATGAAAGAGCTGGGATCAACCTATATTTTTTATGCCAAGTATTTTTTCCACTACCTCTGGCATATAAGGCATTCAGAACAATCTAATAAAAAAGACAAAAGAATACAAGAACTATGTTTTCCTCCTATGTTTCAATTTTACATTTTTATACAAAATAAAAATATGTATAACTTTCAGTCAAAGGCACCTTTTTCACAGTAGATCAAAGGAATATAATCTCACGTCTACCAACTTTTAATGTTGGGGGAAAATGCTCTACTTATATACTACTGAATCAACAATTAGTCTGGAGCTCAGCATATGCTAGGCTCTATGAAAGACACAAAAGCATCATATAATGGGATGCCTGATCCGCAGAGTTTACAATATCCTTAGAGAGACCAAAATAACACTAACAAAGAAGGTTATATTATAAACTGAGTGCTCATGCAGCTGAGAAAAGTAGATGAAAGGACAAGCTTAATAGGTTTTGGGGCAATGGTGGGAACTAAGATGAACCTTACAAAAAGAGTAGGATTTGGATAAGGGGATGGGAAGGGCAAAAAGAAAAGCCATTCACAGAAGACCATACTAAAAATAAAAATGGCATATTTCTTGGGCAGTACAAGGAACCTGGACTGAAAAGAATGTTCCCTTTCAGATGACATTGACCATAACATTAGAAAAGTGATAGGGAGAACAGACAAACTAAAGGAAGGTAGAGTAAGGAGTAATAATGTTTTTGATCAGAAAATAAACATGAAGGAAGTAATAACTAAGGAAGATAAGCTGAATGTGGAATGGACTGGAATGTAGATATTTTTAAAGTTGAGAGAGAGAATTAAATGACTTATGCCCTTCCCTTGCAGTCCTGACTCTGTGCACTTATCATTATCACAGTATTCACTAATCAAAGTACAGTGACTGTCTCTTTAGCTATCTGTCTCTCCTTTAGATTTCTGGATCTTCCAGAGCAGTGACTACATTATTCATCGTTATATACTCCCACACTAACTT